TTTCTTCCCATGTCTGCACTCTCTCAAAATATAGGTCACAGAAGCAATGTGTTTTCTTTTGTCTTAAGGATGCATAATGAATTCTCCTATTTGTCCAAACCGATCACTTACTGATCTCTGGCTTACATGTAAGATATTGCAAATGCTGGAAAAATAGATAAAACAAGACCATTTCATGGTCTGACTACAGCCTGTGTTAATAACGGAGTTTTTAAATTAATATTTTTTTGATCTGAATTTAGTGATTTATCTAGAGTCCTAGACTTTCTTCACCTCTGTGTTTTGTGAATGTGAACTTCCCGTTGGTACAAGGTGCCCCCATCATCCCTTCACTCATGTCTGAAGGTCTAGGAATGAACATAGGGTCCCAAATTATCCAACACACCAGGTATCGTTAGTGAGAAACTATAAATGATTCCTGGTAGCCACATAATTTGATGGATTAGATTTAAAAAATAGAGACTCTTCAGGTTGAAAAGGGTGTTAGAGATCCTTGAAGCCAACTGTCCCTGTCAGGGGGTCATTCAGCCTCTGCTTATACACTATCACTTGTCACTGCCTAAAATGCTCTTTTTCCAGAGAACATTTATTCCAATTTTGGGTAACTGTAACTGCTAGAAAGTTCTTATTTGAAAGAAATCCTTCTCCTTGTGAGTTCCACCCACTAGCCTCTTTTTCTATGGTTTCTTTGGTGTCATGATGAATACATGAATTTTTTCTCTTACATATTAGCCCTTTTGATATGTCAAAGTAGTTCCCATGTCCCCTATCACAGCATTAAAACAAAAACTTAAAGACAAATATCTTTACTGAATAACCCAAAATGAACTCATGACTTTTCTTCTGATTATGTTATTATACATCTGATATATAAAACATCTGATGTTGGGGCATCTGAGTGACTCAGTCGATTAAGTGTCCAACTCTTGGTTTTTGCTCAAGTCATGATGTAAGAGTTGTGAGATGGAGCCCTGAATCCCCTGTCAGACTTTATGTTTAGCATGGTGTCTGCTTGGGATTCTCTCCCAATCCCTCTCTCCCCAACTCTGCCCCTCTCCGCCCCACCCTCTAAAATAAATAAATAAACTATTAAAACAAAACAAAAAACACCCCATCTGATGTTAAATGTTTTTAAAATTTTTATTAAGTTTTTATATATGTAATGTTTTAAACAGAACTATTTCAAAATTACAGATAAATATTGCAGTTTGGATGTGCCCAGAAACAGAAAAGAATTTGAGTGCAAACAGATTATTTTGGAAATGCAGAATATTTTAGGGTAATGGGGAAGTAATACAAGGAAGAGAATCTGGCCAATGAAGGGTATGTTTTAAGTCAGCTATAGCAGTAGGAAACTAGACAGAAATTTCATGGAGAACCCCTGGAAAATGCTGCAAAATAAATGCCTCAGAGTTATGCTACCTTAGGGGTGAACGACTACCTTAGCATTTTTAGCCCACTTACAAGCAGTTTTCTGCCGGTCTGGAATAAAAAGCTTTCAGGCACAGAGAAAGCCATTAGAAATTGACTAGAGTACCACATGGGACACTGACAGCATCTGAGATAATAAGCAAAATAATTATAATGATAATTATTAATGATTAACATTTTTATATACTTCCATTTGGAATTTTTCCTATACGTATACTTACCCGAATATAAATTATCATAAAAATGTCCTCTATGATATTAATTTGCAGACTGCTTTGACACTTAGTAATACCATATATTACATCTTTCTATGTCAATAAATGTAAATCTACTCATGTCGTCACTAATGATGATATGTTATACTATAATTTATTTAATTATTTCCCCAGTTGGACTTTTAAATTGGTTCCAGGTTTTTGCTCTCTTGAGGGAAATGCTTTATTTCAGTTTCATTTGCACAATGAATTTATATTTGGTCTGGTTGCCACTTGACTATATGTTTATTATGATAATGCTTACGAGATATAAACTGTGGGAAAGAGTGCTGTGTATTCAAGTGCCAATGATTCATGCTTGCTTTACAGTTCAGAAATATTACTTAATACAGGTAAGTTTGAATTCAAAATACTATAATGTGCCTTATTATGCACAAGATATCTGATATATCACAAGATACATCCACTTAGGTTACAGAGATTCAGTTTTATGTGTGTCATTTAACGCCACTACCACAACTTAGGATCCATTGTTTTCTATTTATGAATATTGGTTTGGATTTTAGCTGAGTACTTCCAGCCCAGAGCCATCATGAGTTCCCACATACAGTTATATAGTTGGAACACTTTCTTTTCCCCCTTAGAGTACTTGTCACTTGTTAGTTTATAGCAGTACCAAATTGCACATCATCTCCTCATGATCTCAACTTGTTCAGTGGGTGTGATATTATCTTAGGTTAAAATTCCTGGGAAACAGACTGCGATGGAGATTTGCATGCAGGTGGTTAACAGGGAGTATTAAAAAAAAAAAACAGGGAGTATTCTCAGAAACATTCTAAGAAACATAACCTCACTTCATCTGGATTCTGTTTCCTCTTTTTTTTTTTTTCCTGGAGAAATTTATAAGAAGGTTAATGGGGAAAATTCTAAATCCTGACATTGCATTTGAACCTGACATTCATCATCTCTCTCCTCTTGCATACCTTCTGTATCCTCTTAACATTCAAATAGCCCTTCTATGGGCTAGGTGGCTTGTGTGGAAGGGCTATCCAGACTCTCATCCTGGAGGGATCTGAGCCTCTAGCTGCCATATCTGTCTTAGGCTGTGGATGTTGCATTTGTCTCTTTGCCAACAAAATTGGTTAGGCAAGTTATCAAGAGATGTTCCAGTGGATCAGTTAAGTGCTAAATAGTCTTCCTTTCCTGCGTTGTGTAACAGTTACTTCTACCTTATCTGAGCCAATTACCTGGCCAGTATGGGGACTCTTTTTCTTGTCTGCTAGCCTCTTAGCAAAAAAGGAATGGGAAATAACCAGGTGGTAGCTTAAAGTTTAATGAGATCCTTCCTACTCTGTCCCTTTATGGAAGTATTTCCTTTAAGCAGACTGGAAACTCTAGGCCTGCAGAGCATGTAGTTGCAGTGACTGGCAGCACTTAGAGTGCTACTGAGAAAAGCTACTCCTACTTCCACAACCTTAGACCCCCTGTTTGAAAAATATCACTATACAGTGATCATTGATTTAAAGTGTTAGGCCCATCCTGAAGGATAATCCCCCATCCTCACATGATGCTATGCTTTCAAAAGTCTATTCCACCCATCAGGCCTGCAGGTTTTGGGGGATGAAGTGTGTGACAAAACAAGGAAATCCCATGGTCATGGGGCTGCTGCCACATCTCATTTGTTAAATAGCTCACTTGGTCTGAGATAATGACCTCTTATATAATGGTAGTGTCTGAGGCACTTTGGGCAGGGAAATTAAACCCATACCTGAAATAGATGTCAATATTTAATATGGATGGGATGTCTCAGCAAGCCGCAGACAACTGGACCCTTAAAAACTTTACTGACATGGATAGACCTGAATTTTCATAGGATTTGTCTCCTATACTCTGATGTACACGTGTCTTACCAATATGTACGTAGTACTTGCCCATTTCTTAGTCATTAAGTCTATCTAACATGATACTGCTAATGTCATAGAACCCTATTATCTGTGGGATGTCCAGATGGTCCAGATATTTTCCACTATGTAATAACAGTGTAGGAGAATTAACTTAGCTCTGGGCAAGACTATTAATGTACTGTGGTCTTCCCAATGTAGAGGCAAACTGTGTATGCTCTTCCTGACTGTTAGATATTGAAAACAACACTTTTGCCATATTAATGGCTTCATACTTCTTATCAGGGGCTATGTTAATCTGCTACAACAAAGATAGCACATCCATCACAGTAGCCACAGTTGACTGTTACTACTTAATTAAGTTTGAGATATTAATTACCTGTGTTTTAGGGGCCAGACATAGGGTTGCAATGGATACCACCAAGCTTCAAGTCTTTGAAGATGTTAATAATCACTGCCTTTTTCCTTGAAGCAGTGTTGTTTTTGATTTTACAATCTTTCAAGGGTAGGAAGGGCAATTCCCAAGGTTTCCATTTGGACTTTTCTATTATAATGGGTCTTCTTTCATAGGTCGGGAAGCCATTGTGAGAGTTCTGCCAATTGCTGAGTTTGTCCATTTCAGTTATGTGTTTAGGTAGCAGGGAAATGACTATTAGGTCATTCTATGCTTATTTTTCTTTTTGGAACTAATGGACTCACTGTGAGATGGACTTGGGCCAAGACTCCACTTATTACCTGACCTTCCTTATTTTAACTGAAGCGTCATGATAACACTTTGGGTCATTGGTATTCAACTCTGTGTTCATTCAGACCTTGTATCCAACATCCCTCAAAAACTGTTATGTAGTCCTTTTTCTCAGTTTATAATTACCAAAGGAAAGTCTTTTTGGGAAAGGACTGGGGAAATCACTATAGTATATATTTGCTATTGAATTGTAGTCTTCTTCCTCAAGGGACCTGGCCTTTCCTTTAACTGATGCGTTGTAAGTCGGACAATTGCCTCAAGTCTGCAAACTAGACAAAGGATTATATCTTCCCACTGGGTCATGTGACCTGAATCTTTTGCTCATCCAGTGATATATACCCTTGATTGTTGTATATATTAAGCAACACCCTTGCTGGATCCCTATATGTCTTGGTCCTGAACACACGTTCTGTTAAATATCTCCATAGGTCATCATGGATCAGGCTTCTCTGGTTCCCTTTCTATCCTCACCGCCCAAGAGAATAATTACACCTACCTTGCCTTTGACAATTAAATGCTTCCGCTTGGCCTCTCCTATTCCAAAATCATACTGTTGCTATTAAAGAGCCTATTCTGTTACAGATTCTCCTGCTGTCAGCCCCTTCTTCCAGAGAACAGGTACTACTGGGTTTCTCCCTACTGCCTCTGGCCACCCTCTCCAATGGCTTTCTTATTATCTTGGTAAATGGAATGTCCTCGAGGCCATACCAAGGAACATAATTAGCTGTTGAATTTTCCACTTCATTTAACACAGGCCACTGCTTTTCCAAGCTTCTAAGAGCCATGCCAGCAACTTACTAGAACTGGATGTCAAGATACTTGCCAGAGTGTTAAACCAAATGTCATGGGAAAGTGTTTCTATATCAACAAACTCTGCCTTATTCTGCTTTATATTTCGCTCCCCTGATTCAGCACCTTCAAGTCGAACTTCCTGCAAACATTTCTGGTTCTTACTGCTGCATTTTATTGAGTAGATCATTGTAGCTCACCTCTCTGCTGCCTTAGCAGACCTGACAATCCCCAGTTATGCTGAAAGTTGACTTTAGTTATTGGTCTGGTTGCCAGAGGGCAGATCCTGAGAATGGCAAGCATTGTCTTGTAAGCCATTTGCATATTTGAAACACCTGCATATTATTCAAGCAAAGTAGCACCCATCTTCTAACAAGAATGAGTGAGACATTATTAGTGCAGGCTCAGAGATTTTAGACATACCAGGGGTTCAATGTTCTGATCTGGATTCCCCAGAATCCTGAACCTAGGTCTCAGGGTCTCATTCCTTCCATCTCAGGGCCCTGACTTTGGCAGAGGAAATTTTCTAGGATTGAGAATGAAATATTTTTTAAAATCCCCCTGCTACTCTTAAGATTAAGTCCTAAGGCAATGAGGACTTCTTTAAATGCCTAGTAGGGTCTATTATTCACACTTTACTTTGAATTGATGAGTGATCACCTTTAACCTACCTTTTTTTTTCCCACCCTAAAGCACTGATGTTGTTCAGCAACAGCTATGCAATTCCACAATCTTTATAATTTCTAGTTCCCCCATACTTCTCAAATGCCAGAGATTGTATAAGTCAATGCATCCCCTTCTAGATTCCATAACAGTTAGCCACAACTGGAAAGCCTTGATGATCTTACTGTTTCAGCATAATTCAAACTATTCATACTTCACTTGCCAGCAGCAGTGAAGTCTTCAGTGGAAGCAGGTGATCCAACTGCTGAATACCATCCTTATAGACTGCTTCCTAGCCCATTTCTAATACCAATGTGTCATGGTTGGTGTTTTTTAGAAGCAGAACCCGAGATAGGAATTCAGGTGCAGGTGTTTAATGAAGGAGCACTCTTCAGGAAAAACGTAAAAGAGATAGAAGGAAGCAGGATTGGGAAAGGGAAAGACTGTACAGTGATGTGGTTTCAAGTTAAATCTGTATTTTGCCTGAGCAATGGAAGTGAGCCCCCTGGAGTACAAATCATACGGAGATTTTTCTCAACTTAAGGCCAGGGGCCAGATATTCAGACTCCTGTATCAGTCATTTATTAGCCCCTCCACCACTCCCACACATACCTGGAACATATCTTTTGTACTTTAAACAATGTCTAGACACCTAGAAAACTTTCTTTTTAAACTTTCTTTTCTTTTTTTTCTTTCATTTTAGACTCTTCCTAATGTTTCCTTACCTCCAAGATTTCCTGATTAATTTTCTTGAAGAGCAGTACCAAAAATAAAAATCTGGAGTCTCTTAAATATTCAGCCAAACTCTGATAATATGAGCAACAAAACAACAATATTTTTCTTCAAAACAACAATATTAATAATCACTATTTTTTAAAGAATCAAGGAAAAGGTGAGTCTGTGAAAGGTCATGAGTGGATACGAATATGCAAAAGAGGAAAACAAAGTATATAAAAAGGTAATCCTAAGAACAGAAATGTTGACTTTAAAAATAAATTTTTAGGGGTACCTGGGTGGCTCAGTTTATTAAACAGCCAACTCTTGATTTTTGGCTCAGGTCATGATCTCAGGGTCATGAGATGGAGCCCTGCTTGGGCTCTGGGTTCAGTGAGGAGTCTGCTTTAGATTCTGTCTCCTTCTATCTCTCTCTCTGCCACTCCCTCTGCTCTCTCTCTCTCTCTTTTTCTCAAATAAGTAAATAAATCTTTAAAAAAGACAATTGGGACACCTGGGTGGCTCAGTGGTTGAATGTCTGCCCAAAGGGCATAATCCCTGGGTCTGGGATTGTTCCCACATCGGGCTTCTTGTGGGGAGCCTACTTCTCTCTCTGCCTATGTCTATGCCTCTCTCTGTGTGTCTTTCATGAATAAATAAATAAAATCTTAAACAAAAAAGACAATTATGTTCTAAACAGGAGAGGGATGTATAAATAGCTAAGTTTTTATACTTAAACTGGTAAATGATGATACTACTAAAGTGTGATTCTGTATATTTAATGTAATACTTAGAGCAACCACTAAAAATTGTTAAGGAGATACACTCAAAATCACTATAGAAACTATAGGAATTCTAACTAACCCATGGTAAGGGAGAAAAATTTTTTTAAAGAACCAACAGAAAACAAAAAATTAAATGGCAAAGTTAATCCTTTTTGGGGGGAATCCATTTTTTTATGAGAGTAAATGAAAATAATCTAAATATGTCAGTTAAAAGACAGATATAAGTAAACTGCATTAAAAAGATGTTTACAGGGCGCCGGGACACAGCCCAGGATCCGGCCTCCCCCTGGGACAGGCAGAGGCCGGGAGGGCCCAGGACAGCGAGGACGCTCCTGCCCGGAGCTGAGCACATCAGCGGCCCCGCCCCGGAGCCTCCAGGCCCTGCAGACGGAGAACCGAGAGCCCCGAGCCCCGTAGTTCCTGCGGAGGCTGAATCCAGGCTTCCAGAGTTGCCATAGCAACTGCGGCTGTTCCTCCTGGGGCCCCACGGGGTAAACAACCCCCGCTGAGCCCGGCAGCAGGCAGGGGCAGAGCAGCTCCCCCAAGTGCTAACACCTGAGAATCAGCGCAACAGGCCCCTCCCCCAGAAGACCAGCTAGACCGACCAGTGATACTCCCCCGTGTTCCAATACAACTTGTTTTTGGCCACTCTGCACTGAGCAAAATGACTAGAAGGAAAACCTCACCTCAAAAGAAAGAATCAGAAACAGCCCTCTCTCCCACAGAGTTACAAAATCTGGATTACAACTCAATGTCAGAAAGCCAATTCAGAAGCACTATTCTACAGCTACTGGTGGCTCTAGAAAAAAGCATTAAGGACTCACGAGACTTCATGACTGCAGAATTTAGATCCAATCAGGCAGAAATTAAAAATCAATTGAATGAGATGCAATCCAAACTAGAAGTCCTAACGACGAGGGTTAACGAGGTGGAAGAACGAGTGAGTGACATAGAAGACAAGTTAATGGCAAAGAGGGAAACTGAGGAAAAAAGAGATAAACAATTAAGGGTCCATGAAGACAGATTAAGGGAAATAAATGACAACCTAAGGAAGAAAAACCTACGTTTAATTGGGGTTCCCGAGGGCGCCGAAAGGGCCAGAGGGCCAGAATATGTATTTGAACAAATCCTAGCTGAAAACTTTCCCAATCTGGGAAGGGAAACAGGCATTCAGATCCAGGAAATAGAAAGATCCCCCCCTAAAATCAATAAAAACCGTTCAACACCTCGACATTTAATAGTGAAGCTTGCAAATTCCAAAGATAAAGAGAAGATCCTTAAAGCAGCAAGAGACAAGAAGTCCCTGACTTTCATGGGGAGGAATATTAGGGTAACAGCAGACCTCTCCACAGAGACCTGGCAGGCCAGAAAGGGCTGGCAGGATATATTCAGGGTCCTAAATGAGAAGAACATGCAACCAAGAATACTTTATCCAGCAAGGCTCTCATTCAAAATGGAAGGAGAGATAAAGAGCTTCCAAGACAGGCAGGAACTGAAAGAATATGTGACCTCCAAACCAGCTCTGCAAGAAATTTTAAGGGGGACTCTTAAAACTCCCCTTTAAGAAGAAGTTCAGTGGAACAATCCACAAAAACAAGGACTAAATAGATATCATGATGACACTAAACTCATATCTGTCAATAGTAACTCTGAACGTGAATGGGCTTAATGACCCCATCAAAAGGCGCAGGGTTTCAGACTGGATAAAAAAGCAGGACCCATCTATTTGCTGTCTACAAGAGACTCATTTTAGACAGAAGGACACCTACAACCTGAAAATAAAAGGTTGGAGAACCATTTACCATTCAAATGGTTCTCAAAATATACCCTAAAAACTATAGAACACTTCTGAAAGAAATTGAGGAAGACACAAAGAGATGGAAAAATATTCCATGCTTATGGATTGGCAGAATTAATATTGTGAAAATGTCAATGTTACCCAGGGCAATTTACACGTATAATGCAATCCCTATCAAAATACCATGGACTTTCTTCAGAGACTTAGAACAAATTATTTTAAGATTTGTGTGGAATCAGAAAAGACCCCAAACAGCCAGGGGAATTTTAAAAAAGAAAACCATATCTGGGGGCATCACAATGCCAGATTTCAGGTTGTACTACAAAGCTGTGTTCATCAAGACAGTGTGGTACTGGCACAAAAACAGACATATAGATCAATGGAACAGAACAGAGAACCCAGAAGTGGACCCTGAACTTTATGGTCAACTAATATACGATAAAGGAGGAAAGACGATCCACTGGAAGAAAGACAGTCTCTTCAATAAATGGTGCTGGGAAAATTGGACATCCACATGCAGAAGAATGAAACTGGACCACTCTCTTGCACCATACACAAAGATAAACCCAAAATAGATGAAAGATCTAAATGTGAGACAAGATTCCATCAAAATCCCAGAGGAGAACTCAGGCAACACCCTTTTTGAACTTGGCCACAGTAACCAGAGAAGGACAAACAGTGTATGTTCTCATTCATTTGGGGAATATGAATAATAGCGAAAGGGAATATAAGGGAAGGGAGAAGAAATGTGTGAGAAATATCAGAAAGGGAGACAGAACATAAAGACTTCTAACTCTGGGAAATGAACTAGGGGTGGTGGAGGGGGAGGAGGGCGGGGGGTGGGGGTGAATGGGTGACGGGCACTGAGGGGGACACTTGACGGGATGAGCACTGGGTGTTATTCTGTATGTTGGTAAATTGAACACCAATAAAAATTAATTTATAAAATTAAAAAAAAGATGTTTACAAGAAATTCATTTTAAATATAATGATAAAGGCATGTTGGCAAAAGTGTCAATCCATCAGGAAGACATAC